ACACAGACGGGCTTTGAAGCTCGGGTTGAATTCAAATCGATCTGTAAGGATGAAACTTATGCAACTCTATGGAAAATGCAGGAAATTTGATGATGCATGGAGGGTTTTCGACGAAATGCCTGAAAGAGATGGTGTTGCATTAACGGTCATGATTTCGTCTTACTTTGATTACGGGTTAGTCAAGGAGGCGATAAGTGTTTTTAATCAAGTTCAAAGTAAGGACACGGTTTGTTGGATGGCAATGATTGATGGGTTTGTCAGGAATGGGGAAATGAGTAAGGCTTTGGACTTGTTTAGGGATATGCAAAGGGATGGTGTGAGACCGAATGAAGTTACTATTGTTTGTGTTTTATCTGCTTGTTCACAGTTGGGGGCTTTGGAGCTAGGAAGGTGGGTGCATTCTTATGTGGGGAAGTCTGATATCAAGATGAATCACTTTGTGGGTTCGGCTTTGATTGACATGTACTCAAGATGTGGTAGTATTGATGAGGCGGAACGAGTGTTTAATGGGATGAAAGAGAGAGGTGTCAGCACTTACAATTCCATGATTGTGGGGCTTGCATCGAATGGGAAGAGCATTGAGGCTATTGAGATGTTTAAACGAATGATGAAGCAAGGGTTAATGCCAACCAACATTACCTTTGTTGGCGTGTTGAATGCATGTAGTCACGGGGGTTTGGTGGATTTGGGGTATGAGATATTTGACGCAATGGCTAAATATTATGGGATTGAACCACGGATTGAGCATTATGGATGCATGGTAGACCTTCTTGGCCGTGTGGGTCGTGTTGAAGAGGCTTATAATTTTATTCTGAGAATGAAAATAGCACCGGATCATATCATGTGGGGAGCTCTGTCAAGTGCCTGTAAAATCCATGGAAACATCAAATTAGGAGAGGTTATTGCAAAAAAATTGCTAAAAAGTGGGGATGCTGATTCGGGAACTTATGTTCTTCTGTCTAATGTCTATGCTTCAATGAGTAAATGGGAGGATGCTGCAAAAGTGAGAGCAAAGATGAAGGAATGTGGTATTAAGAAGGAACCGGGTTGTAGTTCGATTGAGGTGAAGAATGAGATTCATGAGTTCCTTTTGGGGGACCTTAGACATCCGGAAAAGGAAGCAATCTACAGAAAACTAAAGGAGTTGAATCAGATACTGAGATCTGAGGGTTACTCTCCAGAAACAGGTGTGGTTTTACAGGATATCGAGGATCAGGAGAAAGAAGGGGCCTTAGCTATCCATAGTGAGAGGCTTGCAATATGCTATGGGCTAATCTCAACTAAACCATATACCACAATAAGGGTCGTAAAAAATCTAAGAGTATGCAATGATTGTTATTCGGTGATCAAGCTCATTACTAAGGTTACTGGAAGAAAAATTGTGGTGAGAGATCGGAAAAGGTTTCACCATTTTGAAAATGGTGTTTGTTCCTGTGGGGACTATTGGTAAAACAAGAGAATTTAATTTCTTGGATATCAAAGTTTTACTCAAATATATTGTTGCAACTTCCCATACAGTAGCCATAGCAAAGCGCGAAGAAGGTAGCACTGTCTCCTTCCATCGCATTTGTTCCTCGCGTCAGTATATATCATGTTTAGCTTCTGGAAGTGCAAGCAAAAGATGGAAGATGGATGACATGTACCATCCGAAGTGCAGGAAGATATATCATTCAAGAATTTTGCCAACTTCTCCATCAGTTGATTTTGTAGTGTGATTTTGATTGTCTAGCTTTTCACCGCAGATGGAGTGAGGGAGACTGTAACAACTAGATGAATTGATAATGTAAATCCTATAATTTTGTTGGCATTTCCATCACTCTAATCTATCTATGTTAGTAGTGTTTTTAAAAGGGTGGAGACTGGAGAGTGATAAACACCCATGTGGTATGCAAATAGGGTAGGTTCGTAAAAGTCCCTAATATTTATTTTTGGTTCAAACAAGGGCCTGTGGTAGGTGGAGTGATAAAAAGACTAAAGTGCCCTTATGTATTTGGAAAAAAATATATATATATAAAATGAACAATGTACCCTAACCAAAAACGGCATTGTGTGGTTATATGTAAAATGGTATAAGGGCATTTTGGAAAGACTAAAAGGGCAGTTTAGAAAATTTGCACCCCTTTTAAAATATGAAGGTCATTACAGAGGTGCTTGAGAACACAACAGCCTCTGCAAATAATTCAATAAATAAATAAAACAATTTGATTATACTTTTTAATTAATTTTAGGTGAGTACAACAACAACAACACATGAAATTAATTGGTGTAGAGAACTTCAGTGTCTTAAGTTTTAATTGTATATTTTACGTATAACTATTTACAGAAAATACTAGACTTTCAAAATTTTAGAGTGGAGTTGGTGGACCCTACCAAATTCAATTAACTTTGTCACTCTTTTCTACAATTTACTTTTTGTAGCCTGATTCACTTGTGGTGGTTTTCAAGAGTTCGTGTCAATATACAAAGTTAGTATTGTGATATGAAGTAAATCGATTGATTTACATACAAAATAAATTTGGTTCCTAGTTTCAATTGAACCAACTGTGGGTTAAATTTTCGTTTTATAATTTGGAAAAAATTGAATTATATTTATGTCAATTTTGTAGTTTTAACATGAAAATGTTAAAGAGAAGTTGTAACAACATTATTTTCATGCTTTTCTTATTCAATTTTTTTATTAAAATAGAAATATATACTTTATTCTTTAATGCTTCGTTTGGTTAGAAGGAACAAAATATAGGAAAGTAAAAGATAATAATAAATAAAGAATTAGATTAATTTTTTAAAAAAGAAAGATATAGAAGGATTTTGTTTAATAGTTTGAATAGTAAAAAAGTCATAAACAAATATTGTTATTTACCTAAATTGTTTTTTTTTATATATATATTAAACTAAATATAAGTCTAGATGGACTTCTTTTAAATTGATATTTTGGTCTTTATGAAGAATTAAAGTGATACAAAATCTAAATAAATAACTTCATAGGACATTTAGAAAGAGAAACACATACTATTTTCTGAAAATGATGATAAACTCATTTTTATTTCAGAGAGAGAGAGAGAGAGAACATAAGGCCATGAAAACAATCTGACTAATATTCTGATATTTTTCAGTTGTCCGGAAAAAAAGTTATGTCACTATTTTTTAAAGAAGAAAAATCACGTTTAGCATAGTTTTTACTTCTGCTTATACATAGAAGGAAAAGAGAAGCAGAAGTTATCACTTTCATTTGGCTTTTGTATTAGTGTTTGGGAAGCTTTTAATGTCAGAAGAGTTTTTTCTATCTCTTTAGCGAAACTTTTGGTGAAAGCTCTTATACTACTCAAATAACAATTTTATCCTTGTATTTTTTTTTCGTTTATATCTCTTTTTTTAAGCACATCCAAATAAGCATTCAATATGTGATATATAAAACAGTACATTATGCTTAAAAAAAACTCACCAATTTCATTTCATCATTAATACAAAATAAGATGTTTATCAAAACATCAACTCCGCAGCCATTCTATCTCAGTGAGTCAAATAAATTGTTTTGCTTAAAATTCCAAGTCACAATAGCTCTTGAATGAAATTTGTGATGAAACAAAATCTGTCACATATTTATTCTGAATCTCATGCATTAAAGATAAACACATCATTTGTAATAACATTAATGATAAACAAATAATTTTTTTTTTTTTTTACATTGTTAGGCGTATAAAATGAGCTAAATAACAAACTGAATTCCATTAAAAGGATTCTATAGTGCTTTGATAAATTAAGATGTTGGAGTAAATTAAATAACAACTGCTTTTATATACAAGTTCACCTATTATCGTAATTTAATTTATGGAAGAAAAAAATTGGGGAGATTTGTTTTGTTTATTAAATTTTTTTTGCATATATATTGTCCTATTTTCACCATTTAATTCCCCTTAGAAAGATGTAATTCCCTTTCCAAAGAGGATGTTGAAATAGTTGGATGCAGTTTGCGGATGACTGTAATTGGAAAAAGTTGGATGGTGGTTTGCCGGTGACTATAACAGGGAGAAGATTGAAATAAAGAAAAGAATAATTTTGGTTAACTATTTAAATGATATCAAACATTTATCATTGTACAAGTAAAAATCTTGTCGTCAAAGAACATTGGTTGCACTATGAGTTAAAATTAAACGTCATTTCTTACTTACATAAATGCATTCAAAGTTGTAAAGGGTCTTCTTAAAAAACTCAAAATTTATTGAGTTATTTTGCAATATATATATATAAAGAAAAGTTTGGGTTTTGAAAAAATAATTGTCTCCAAATATTTATTTTTCCAGCCGTACAAACCTAAAAAAAAAAAATTTAAAAAACCATTTACCTTCACTTTTCACCACTTTCCATCCCATCAAGCCAAACCTAACTTAATTTTCTATTTTTTCCTTAGAAGACATGTATCGGCCCTACAACACACACATTATTCAAGTATGAGTACGGTTTGAAAACGAGACCTCAAAGACTTACCTCCCGAATCTCTATCAACGCCACTATGCCCTTAGGAACAAACCTAACCCTATCTTAGTTTAGTTTTTTTATTTTTTTATTAGAGCACGTGTATCGACCCCACAACAAACGTACTATTCAAGTCAGAAGTGTTATTCGAAAGCGAAACTTCAAGGATTTAACTCCCAAATCCTTGCCAACACCGCTATACTCAAAGACAATCTACGTACCATTCAAGTTAAAAGTGTGATACAAAAGTGAGATTTCAAGGGCTTGCCTTTCAAATTCTTGTCAATGCTGCTATACTCATGGACAACCCTAACTTAATTTAAGAATAACATTTTTCATTCTTTATATTTTTTTATTGAACTTAGGAAAACCTAGAATAACCATTTGGAATTTTGGATGCAAACTTTCAAATTATGACAATCGTTGATGAAAGGGTCGCACTTTCCCACAAAATCAGGACCGTTAAAAAAATAATAATAAAATAAATTGCCCCATCGGGATTATCGATCTTTTTAGTATCCACATAATGAAATGTGAGATTTTAATTCTAACAATAAAGTGTAGTAGTAGCAGTATCAGAGGCGGAGATGCTGAGCACCCAAGTAAGTCTCCCTCACTCTATTAAGCTAGGTCGATACCACACTATCGTCTCTAATGAAATTAAATTATACACAATATACATATGTATATATATATATAGATAATAAATAAAGTGAAAACCCTAGAATTATACAATTTGCAGCTTTTATATTTGTATATTCAGTGTATAGTTGTATATTTTACCTTTCATGGTTCATGAAAAAAGAAAGCTATTCAAAGGGAATTGTCAAAATATTGTAGATTCTTTTTGTTTTCATCACTGTCAGAGACCTTGGATTGCTGAATATGGTGATATTGTTTACTAATTCTATGTTATTGATTGGATTGAATACAATAAGAACGTATTTGTGTGTGTGTGTGTGTATACAAACCGACATGCATACAAAGACCATTTATTTGACCTTGCAGTGATGTTCTGTTCTGTTCACATGCTTGAAAGTTTGAGCTGATTTTTCAAATAAAATATGCTATTTAAATAATTATTATGGATTTAATTAGGTTTGGTCATTGTCAGGATATTATTGAATAATACATAGATGAAAGAAGTTACTGAAATTATAAGTAGGTTTTTATTTATTTATTGATTTATTTTGTCTGGGTTTGGTTTATTTGACATTGTTGGATGCTCAATTATGTGTGATCTGATTAAAAATAGAAAAAGTTGCAGAAATTACTGATAAGAGAAATAGTTATTCATTTAATTTGTGCTGGATGTTCAATTAAGTGAACTATCATGTGGGTCCTTTTTGGATGTCTCTTGAATCTGAATTGCCATATCATTTTGATGTACGATATCGTCATCCAAAATGGAACTCCTTAGAACCATATTTCTTACAACATGGTCGTTTATAGATTTTGTTCAACTGAAAATGTTTATAGATTTTGTTCAACTGAAAATGTTATGATCTTTAACATTAAATTTTAGTATGACTGCTATTTGTCTGAATAGATCATTCAGAATGATAAAATTAACGCTATAATGTTATGTAAAAAGTTGATGGGTCATCCATTCAAGGGGACAACTGAGAGACTGAAACCTTATGTAATGAAAACTTGTTTTGCACAATCAGGTGGAAATTGCAATTTCATGTGAAGCTTCCTTGGCAAATGTAAGCAAGGCGGTTTCTCTGTGTGATTGTAAATGCACATAAAAATGTGAGGAAAATTGACAGGAATTTGTGGTGTATGCAATGCATGTGGAAAATAAGAAATATTCTGCAATGAGATTAATTTACACAGGCATTTATCTGTCATTACTGCACTTGTTTCCTATATATTTTTTAACATGTTTTATCCTTTTATATTGTGTTTCTTGTTTTAGAACCATTACCATCGTTGTCCCCTATGAAAAAAGTCAAAGCCCCTTATCGGATTTGAACCGACAACTTACACCTTAACATGTCGTTGCTCTACCACTGACTATGAGAAGTATCCTTATTTTGCTGCTCCGTTGTCTAAGGCTCCCACTCTTCTCATTGTGTAGTCATACTAGCCTTTTTTTCCTTCCAAAATGTGGAGCAGGGTTGCTCTAAAACAAAGCAGTTACAGAGTTACTCTTTTGCAAATTTTAAGTATTTACACTTACTATAAAAGCAATTCATTCATGCCATAGCCTGGTGATCCCTTGACTCCATTTAGAATTGTTTCTTCTTGCATTAGATCGCACTTATTTATCCCTTAAAATGGAGTTAGTAACCTGTTTGTATCAAGTTCTGCAAGACCTTTTTTTTACCATGTTATGGGGTAATGATGTATTATTACGATTTAAGAATTAGATTATAAGAAAGAGAATGAATGAACAAATTTTTTAATAAAATGCATAATAGTTCACATATCCTATCTTGTAGGTATTACTGAATAGATTCAATTTGAGTGCAATTTCAAAGAAGACAACATGTCTTCATATATGTGGGATAGTTAAGGTTCTTGTGGATAAAGTGGATGTTGGGGGTATTACACGTCAAATGATGGAGGTATCAGATATATTGGGTAAGTAGAAGCTAAGACTATCTTTTTACGTGTGAGCATATATTTGTGCCTCCATGCTTGTGTATGTGTGTGTGTGTGTGTGTGTGTGAGAGAGAGAGAGAGAGAGAGAGAGAGAGAGAGGAACCTCTAGAGCACCCTTACTCGTAGTCTTGTCTTTTGTTCCATTTGGAAAAGGGTTAGAATCTTATTAAGTGTGTCAAAGATCTCTATATAAATTTGGTGGGTGAAGTCTTATTTATAGTTTGCTGGGTGATGGCTTGCCAATAGAAGGTCCTAATTTGTTGGGCCATATGTCTTTGTCATGTGACTCAATGAGAGGTTGCCACGTGTAGTGGAGCAGTCATAATGGTTCTTGTTAGGACAGCAATAACATGACCAGACATTCTCTATGGCTCAGGCCAGCTGAATGCAACCATGTGTAAGTGAGGTGGTCCATCTGGTGGTTTGATGGGACATGAGGCACTGTACCATAGGATGCAATGGAATGATCACAAGAAAATGCTGCCACGTGGTTGATAAGTGCGACCTACAGGAAGCTTCCACATTGTTGAGGGATATTCTTTGTCAAGTCACATTGTCTCTCTCTTTAAGGCAGGCCAAGCAGACTGCACCTTGACAAAGCTGCCTTCAGTCACTAATTACTCCTAAGATACCAAGTGGCCCAAGGACTGCAAGGGGGATCACTTAATGGTCACACTTAGCCAAGGAGCTCCTTTAGTCCTGCTCCTGCTCTTGACTCTGGCAATGTACCAGGTATATCAGGGTGCAGTGTTATGCTGACTTTGTTAGATTTGGCACAAGTACAACAAGGTAGATATTATTTTGGAGGAGAAACAGATTAGACAGCCAGAAAACTGTGCAGTATAAACTTGTGGAGATCCGGTCACCACACAACTGAATAGTTGTCGGCTCAGCCATATAGCGTGCGGCGCAATTTTTAGGAGAGTTCCCTGGCTGGTTGGCTCGGTTGTGAAGTACACAATGAGGGAAATGACCCTTACTTTTGTACCTGATTGCAGAAGTCTTGGTGCCACTAAAATATTTAGAGTTCTGTGGAGATGTCATATACAGATTGCCATCTCCATAATACGTGGAGTGGTGGGGATGAATACTAACAGATATAAAATGTGACACTGAAAAAGGCTCATTACAATCATTATGTAAACCAAAGTAAGCTTCTTATCATTTTTTATATTTGTTATTGCTTTCCTTAATTTAGATTGCTTAATATGTAAACATAATGTTATAACTTTTCTAGATAGGCATCTTTAATCTCCCACGTTTAAAAACTAGTGTTTATACTTTGTTAATCTATTGCTTCTTCCAATTTTTTATTTTATTTTATTTTATTTTATTTTTTTCCTTAAAATTAAAGCAAATGGGAATTCATGTGGCCAACTCCATCCATTGCTACGGATAGACATGTCTTGGTGGTTAATTGCTATCAGCTCGATAGTGGGAGAACGTCCAGGGTTGTGCGTTTTTCGAGGCATTTTCAAGATTGGGAGATTGAGAACGTCATTGGTTTTTTGGAGTTGTTGTATCGCTAGCAGATTGTGGGTGGAGTTCCTAACTCTGTGGTGTGGGTTCTCTCCTCCCAAGGTCGCTTTAAGGTTTGGTCACTCTATAGGTGTCTTACGGATGCTCTAGGGGTTTCGTTCCCGTGGTGGCTTTTTTGGCATGGACATCTGTGTTGGGAAAGATCTTGACCCAAGATAATCTAAAGAGGAGGAGACAAGTTGTGATCAATTGTTGCAGCATGTGCAAGAGAGATGAGGAAACGATTGACCACCTTCTTTTGCATTGCCCAATGGCTTATGCTTGCTAGGTTTTTATGTTGGGTTTGTTTGGGGTTCAATGGGTTATGCCCAGGTCTTCCAAAGGTTCGGTTGAGGCTTAGAGGTTGTATAGTGGGGGCCCAAGCTCGTGATTTCTAGAGGGTCACACCTTTGTGCATCTGATGGTGTTTATGACTTGAAAGAAATAGGAGATCCTTTGAAGGAAAGGAGACTCCTATTGGTGTGTTGAAGTTCTCCATTATTCGCACTCTTTCTGTTGGGTCTAGGGAGAAATTGTAAATCCATGGAGGAGATAGTTGATTTTTTTGACTCTCTGAGAGTTTAGAGGCCCTATTTGGCCTTGTGTAGCTTCTGAGGGACGTGTTCCCTTTTGAAAGCTTCTTAATACAATCTTACTTATAAAAAATAAAAAACAAAACAAAAAAAACAAAAAATCATTAAAAGAAGTAAAATCTCCCTAAAATAAAATCTATATATATGCAAGAGTGCAGTAATGTTTGTTTGAGCTTCAAAAATTGACATCTCCATCCCCACAAACAATAATCTGTTACGATCCTTTCAAGTACACTGCCATGCGATAACCCACTGAATTATGAAGAAGAGAAGAGCCCATGTCCCTCACCTTTGGACAACCGAAGCAATTGATTCATTATCTCCTCTACTTCTTTACACGTACAACACCTTTGGGAGAATTTTCCCTCTTTGCACCAAGTTGGTTATAGTTAGAATCTTCTCAAGGGCTGTCATCCGTCCAAAAAAAAGTCCCATAGGATGGCACTTTAGCATGCCATACTGCCTTGTAAGAAAAGGTGTACCTCTCCTTTCATATTAAAGACTGGCTATCAAGTGTCAACTGGGTGAGTGTAGCCATTAAAATTGGATCCTAAAAGTTAGTTAACTAAATTGACTGGAATAATTCAGGTAATGTTATTGAATGGTGGTTCATGCCTAATGCACACATAGACTTGTATGGTTATCAATTGGATCGATCTTTTATTTCAATAATTCAAAATACATTTGTGGAAAACCTTAGATCTACTTGGTTTGGTTATGTTGCATGGACCACCTTACCATTATAAGTGCCATGTACATTGAAATTGTATCTTCTTTTTGTTATACTCCCTCTGACATTCTTTTTGGGACTGAGGTAGTATCAATTTTCTGAGCTATTTTCAAATTATAGAAACTTGTATTAATAACACTAAAACTTTTGTAAAGAGACATTCTTTTTGGGACTGAGGTAGTATCAATTTTCTGAGCTATTTTCAAATTATAGAAACTTGTATTAATAACACTAAAACTTTTGTAAATTCTCCTTTGTGCTACATGATTTCAAGGTGGTTGTCCTTAAGTTTGGAACAATACTATTATTTAAAGGAAGGTGTTGGATAAAAATGAAAAAAATGCACTTTTCTTTTAACTGTATATTATCATCACTACTATAATCATAGTCCTTGTTGCCGGGGAGGTTATTGAAATATTTTTTAAAGAGTTTATATGAATTGTTGTGTATTTTTTATGTTCAATCAGAATAGTTAGTGACTCTACTACTGAAAAGATCTTAGTGAATTTTGGATTATTTTAGTTTTAGTTGCAATTGTAGGTTTAATATGCAAATGCACATATACACAAAAAAGAAGAAAAAGAAAGAAAAAGGGACTTTACCTAGTTTTGGCCTTACTTCAACATGGTCTTGGAAAGAAAAGACTCGAGATAGATCTAACCTTTATGCTTTGTCTGGTTGGAAGGAAGGAGGAATGATGGAAAGAGGGGAAGGATGGAAGATGCTTTCATCGTTTGGTTGGAAGGAAGAGAGGGAGGAAGCACTTCATCCCTCCTGCCCCATGCTTTTTCATCCCTCCAAAATTGGACGGAAGAGAGGAGGGAAAGAAAGAAAAACTGCTCCATAAACCATTATTACCTCTCAATTATTTACAAAATTACTTTGTTACACCCTACTAATTTGGAATGAATATTTACTTTTAATTAGTTTATAATCTGAGCGTATATTGGTAGAAAAAATATAAAATATCTCCTTCCCTTCTTTCCAACGAAACAAAGAAAGTTGTCACTATCACCCCATTCATCCTTTTTACTATCCCGTCCATTCAACCAAACAAAAAGTGAGGGAGACACCTCTTCTTCCCTAGGGATGCCTCATCCATGAGTCATTCTCTCCCTTCCATTCATTTTAACATCCTTCCATCCATTTTAACATCCCTCCTACTAAACAGAGCATTAGAATTTACAAAGTGATTGCTATGAAACTTGACTTACACCAATGACACTGATGTTCTATGGTTTAAGCTACAACACTCGCACACAAGATCATCCTTTTCACAGAAGGCCTTCAGCTTCCAAAGGCTTGGTGGCTTGCAACAAAGAGATTGACAAGCAAACAATCAAAACCTATTTCTCAATTTAATATCTTGGATAAGAATCATTCTTTTCACTAAAATGCCCTTGTTGACAATCCTTTACTCCGACAGCATCTAGGGTTCCTCGAATCTTTTATTTATTTATTTATATATATTTTTTTTGGAAAAAAAAAAAAAAAAAAAAAATTCTTTTATAAGGTTAAGAACCAATTGCAACATATGCAAACCCCATGGAATTTTCATTGTGTGTAACTTATGATTTACTTTGAGGAAGAATAAAAAGGTAAAAATGCTTGTGCTTTTTATTCCTTAATAGATTGCTATAATGGTTTACACTTTGAGAAGATTTTTCTTTGTGAATGCATGTGATTCTGCTTACTGGATTTCTTTTTCTTTTTTTTTCTTTTTTCTTTTATTAAGATTTGGAAATTGACTTCAGTTTCATTTTTTGACAGTAAATTTCATAACATATGTGAATGAGCATTACAAAACGATTGTGGAGCCTGCTGGAATCGATTTTGATGCAGATATGGACATCTCAGATATGGACAATAAGATGATAGAAAGTTCAGTTGGAATGCAGATTTGTGTGCCTGAGGGTGGAGAAATGCTTGATTTCTATGGTGAAAGGGATTTAATTGGACATGGGATAGATGATAATATGGAACCATATATTGGAATGGAGTTTGAGTCTGAAGAGACAGCCATGGTTTACTATGATGCATATGCTAAGCGCGTTGGCTTTATCATCCGTGTTGGCAATTGCCACCGTTCAAGTCGTGATGGGTCAGTCATTAGTCGTAGATTTCTTTGCAATAAGGAAGGTTTTCGTGTAAACAATAAGAAGGCAAAACGGCTTGAAGTGAGAAAGCCAAGGGAAATAACTAGGGAAGGTTGCAAGGCAATGATAATGGTGAGGAAAGAGAAGTCAGGGAAATGGGTTGTTACAAAGCTTGAAACAGAGCATAGTCATCCACTAGGAATACCTGCTGGGAAGGGCCGTCGGGGTGCAATTCAGGCACGGCCACAGGTCAGTTTAGATCAGTATTAGCTTCTGTTTCTTTTCCAATCATTCACACACCTTTTTTTCTTTTTTTTTTTGTGTGTGTGCGTGTGTTCTACTTGTTCATAGTAGCTTTTACTTATATTCCACCCAACGAGGATATGACATCCTTTTCACTTTTCAACCCTCAAAATGGCACATGATTCCACCATTTTCTCCTTACCCCTTTCCCCATTCTCATCTTCCTAGTTGTATGTTTATTGTAGAGTATAGCGTAAGGCTGATATGCTAAACAGTAATGAACATTGTTTTTGAGACAGTCACTATACCTGAATGAACTACAGTATAAGTTCTACCAAACAGTTTGACCCATGTTGGCTCGACTCTCACAGTAGATGGGCTTTTATGCCTTATTCTGGAAGAGAACAGCTGAAAAAATGCCCAATTGGGCTATGTAGAGGGAGAGACAGAAAGACTAAGATGGTAACAAATTAACTAAATATATCTGGTTGCTACATGTTTGCACTCACTGTTGGATAATTCTTATGAGAGAAGTTTAATTTGCCCAAGGAAGTGGATTCAAAAGAACAATGAAGGGCAATGCTGGTCAAGGTAAACTTCAGAACTACCGCACAGATTTAAGATGGGTTTATCAATAACACTGGCTTCCGGTTCCACATGTATCAAAATATTAAACAACTTGTGGAACAATTTCTATTGTGATTAACAAGTATATTGTGTTCCATCACCTTATCAGTGAAGCCTAATAAATTATGGAGGACTTGGATCATTACCTAATCATACTGGTGGTACAATAGGAATTTGTAAAATAAATCTTCTCTAAAATGTGTGTTTTAAATGCTTGTACATTCAGTAGGATCACAACAGTGCCTGGATGAGGTCATTGTGTATGTCTTGGTTTTTGAAGTATGGTTTAGGAAGTAATGAAATATGATGGATCTGGTGGTTGTATTTCATGTTGCATGCATTGGTTACTCTCTCTATATATTCAACAGTGTTAATCTCCATTTGGATTGAAAAGTATGAATCGGAAGGATTTAAGTTCAATTATTTAAGTAGTATAACCGAAATTTAGATTTCAAACTTCAGTTTGAACATAATGCATAAATTGATTTGAGAGCCTTATATGCATCAATTTCAAATAACAACTTACAGGGTTTCAGGTTAGGTTTCTAGTTCTCAAGGATTTTAATAAAATGTTTCCCAATCTGTTAATCTAAGTTATCTAACATCTCCTTGGGCTTCCAAATCAAACTTCAATAGTCAATCTTTTATTTACACTCAAATCCCTTCATTTATCTAAATGTACTTAAACCTCATAAACCTAGAGACTAGAGTTGATTTATGGCTTTGTCGATTATAGCAATAATGCATTCTTATATAAATGATTGATCAAAAAATTTATTCATACATTATTTTTTTTTTTCTTACTTCTGTTGCGTTATTTTCTATTTTCTTAAGATATACACACACGTCTGTAAAGGCAAAACAATTAAAGTAAGTTGCTTTGTTTGAATGAAAGAGCCCAGATTCAGGAAATATATTCTAAACTCTCCCCAAACTTTGAGTTTTATGGATGAATCATACTTCGGCGGATTCTTTGTTGCTGTCTGTAAACCTTAATATTTTTCTTGGCAGAAAAAACTGTGTTATAATGTTCAAGAAGCACAATAGGTCATCTTTGATGACACATTTCAAGCAAACATTCTTAAATAGTTGGGGAGAAGCCATTTCTATTGTTTGTTGTCTGGTGCATTTAGCATAAAGGCATCAGCAGAGTCATCAATGTTTATGCTGAGTTTCATGTGTTTTTCTAGTTTTCTCTAAGAAGCAATTCTATTGTTTGTTGTCTGGTGCATTTAGCATAAAGGCATCAGCAGAGTCATCAATATCCATGCTGAGTTTCATGTGTTTTTTTCTAGTTTTCTTTAAGAAGCAACTTTTTTTTTTCATGTGGAAAAAATGAGAATGAAGAAAAGTCAGTTTGAGTATGTGCACATATTCCTCCCATTTATGCATTGCTTCAATAGTTTATTGACACATTGAGTTATGGGAGTTGTCTGGGACCTTTGTCCTGGATTGCCAATTATATCACTTAACTCCAGCTGCCATTGATTTCCGTTTTCTATTTTCCCTTTGAAACATATAAATATTATTATATATTCTTTTCTATGCATAGGATGAGAAGGATAAGAAAATCCGAGAGTTATCTGCTGAGCTTCATCGTGCAAATCAACAGTTGGCAGAGTGTGAAGAGCAACTAAACATGGTTTTGAAAGATATAGAACAGCATACAAACCACCTAACAAGAAGTCTTCATGACATAATCGAGAATGTAAAAGAAATCGAAGCTGAGGATGAAGAGCAATTATAACAGGGCTTTTGGTGCATTTCTACCTTTCTTTTTCCAACTTACAATTCATCCATTACTGCATTATTTAGTTGTATTTTTTTTTGCCCCTTTTTTTCTGTCTACTGCTATTTATCGAGTACGAGTGTATATAGATATTTGGAGGATTTGTAATGGGGAAGTGCCTTCATGAACTTCAGACCTTTCAACTTACTGAAAGAGCCGCGTTCATTGTTGCACAGGTGACTTTCCAAACATCAGAGAAGAGTTTGGCATGGTGCTGCAATTCGGGTAGGTGTTGAACTGAGAACTGACACCACTCTTTTCTCTAACAACATAAGATTGAAAGTAAATTTTTGAAAAAATATGATTTATGGAGAATACATGAGGAGAGTAATGTTTGCCTCTAGTAAGAAATAATATATGAGATATGATACAGCAATAATCATTGTAAAGAAAAAGGAATGGTGTTATTTTTCTTAATTAGAAATCAAGTCAATCTTACTTTGACTATATGCAGCCAAAATGAATTTGGAAATGTGAATGAAGTAAATTTCTCTGTTGAGTGAGTGTGAGTGTGAGTGTGAGTGTGAGTGTGAGTGTGTGTGTGTGTGTGTGTGTGTGTGTGTGTGTGTCTAATGTGTTTAATTTATATGGTTGAACAAAGCAGGGATTGTGTGTATCGGTGCATTGTGTCCGAAAGAGTTCCCTGCAACATGGATCTGGGGAAGGTGGGCAGTTCGTTAGTTCTATTGAAACTTTTAACAATCATCTTCTCCACATTTCTCTCTCTTATTTTTTATGTATTTAATGAAAAATAAAATAAAAAATTGATTGTAATAATGATTATGTTAGATTCTGACCATCTTGTTAATACCTAGTTCAAACTATTTTCATTTGTATTAAGACAGTTCATAGCAAACACATTGACATTGTGTTTCACTATCAATAACAGAAATGCTGAAGATTCATATTGATTGTATTTGTACCTAACCAATTGCCATGTCTTTTTATACTCTTGTGCAATATAGTATACAAGGTTCTATTTGTATTTTAAAAAACTTGGACCTAAAGTTTCATTTCTTTTTTTTTTGGTTTTTCTAGTTATACTCGCACACCACTCCCTCAAGGAATTATTTGCATCAAGAGAATTCGTACTTTAGGCCTAATGCTTTTTGAGGAATTATTTGCACCAAGAGAATTTAAACTTTAGATCTAATTCCTTTTGAGGAACCACATCAAGATTTTGGCCGGACAATTTTAAACGTTTGTCTTAAAAGAATGTTCCATTTGGTGTGGGGGTGTGGAAAGACCTATTAATTACTTGTATGTCTTAACATGCTAATATGACCGACTCCCTCTATATCAAATTAAAAGTACTATGAGTCACAATTCGTAAAGGCGAGATGGAGGGAGTACTATTTTTTGCACCATAGTTGTAAAGAAAAGGGATGTATTTAAAAAAAAAAAAAAATGTATTTCTTTTCTTAAAAAATGATTAAGAATTTGGCATTAAAAAAAAAATGTAAATTATGAAAGTACGCATATAACTGATACAAGTATAATACACATGCTAAAACAAAAGTCAATAAAAAATTGAATATAATATAATATTACTATTTTTGTATTATTTTGTTATTATACTTTGAATCATAATTCATGGTTGTAAACCATCAAGGAAACTGAGTAAAACCTCCCTAAAAAAAGTTGACCTAAAGCTCTCAAGAACCATGTTGCAATGTGATGTTATAAAGATTAAAAAAGCCCCTTGATAAACAAATTTAAGAAAATGGTGCCACTTCATATAAGATTTAAATTGATACAGTTAACTCATTCGGCATAGTATTGTTAAAAAATTAATTTTGAAATAAAATAATAATACATTGAAACAATTTTCTTAAATTTTTATTTAAAAGGAAAATAAAACCAAAAATGAAAATCAGAAAATCTAAATTTTCTTAAATTATAACATCACTTTGCTGAAAAAATAATATTGATTGTTTATTAAGCATCTTGCATATGATTACAAGTTCTCAATAATTTGCAGTTGACTACTTCAATCTCATTTTCTAGGTAAGGCCATCCATCAATCCACATCCGATCACATTTTTTACCCTAATCTCTTCCTCTAAAATTACCCTCAATATGAATTATATCACTTTTTTTGAGTGGCACAACACATTTTATTACATAGTTGAATTAATGCTCATCATGACATTTTACAAAATACCTTAATATAATTGCCAATTATGTTATTAAAATTTCTCATTATTTGAAATTTCATCTTTTTTCTCTAATAAAATAATCAAATGATTAATGGGTGAGTTTTATATGATAATTCAATCTCCACTTTTAATGGAGTACATGACTTCTTCGTTATTTTAAGATATGACCATCTATAATAATTAACTTTTATCACTTGATGATACGATCTTTAACTATTTAAATCGCACTCTATAATAAATCTAAAATTGCTGATTAAGTGATCTTCACAAATTCAGTTGCGATTTTGAATTTATTCTCAAATTTTTATGCTTGATCAACAATTTTAAGATTTTGTAGTCATATATATCAAATAAAAAAGAAGATTAGTTGTAACCTAAACACCATCACATAACATAGGAATGATTGTTGAGTGTCTTTGTCAAGCTTGTAAGTTATTTGAATGATCCTTTTTCAACAAACCTCACCTGATTTTCGTGGCATTCAATAATTCTCCCATTTTTTTTCCATTCTCAAAACTACTATTCAAAAATTCATATTCATAAAGCAAAGCAAAAGCAACTCATTTTTAAAAAGCAAAGCATCTCAATCTTCCACACACACACTTCCCTTTCCACTTACAGAGAAACAAGCAAACCCTAAAAATCAACAACCCAACAATCAACAACCCAACAATCATTATCACAAATTAAAGTCAATCTCTCTCTCAAATATCTTCCCTTTCCACTCACAAACAATCAAACCCTAAAAATCAACAGCCCAACAATCCTCATAAATTAAACTCTCTCCTCTCTCTCGCTCTCAAATTTCAGGAAAAACATAAAACCCTAAATAGGGACAAGTGTCGATGATGAAACAGTAATCTCTCTTTTCTCTCTCTACATATTCACACACACACACACACACACATATCATTATGTGTTCTCTAATTCAATTTCTCTCTCTCCTCTTTTAGATCCGAATCTTCGTCTTCATCCTCCTCGACAACCAGCGTCCATGTAACAGCGCTAGACGGCCTCGTCAATGTCAACTCTCTCTTCACCATCGCCGTCTTCGTCGGTCTCTCTCTCACCACGCCGGGCCAACGGAGCCTCGAGGACCGAGTGGACTGCGACGCAGACGTTACCGTCGCCAGGAAGCTCCTCGTGTTCGAGGTTGTTTCGTTCAGCTTCTTCCTCTTCTCCTCCCTTGTCGCGCAGGGTCTCAAGCTGGCCATCAATCTGTTGAACAGCAAGGACGTGGATGAGGCCTTTAGGGCACACATTAACCTCAAGGCCCTCAGATTTGGGATGCTGGCTTCGGCCTTTGGATCGGTCATGGGTTGCGTCTTCTTGATGCTTTCGATGGTCAATGTGATCGAGATTCGGTTGGGGATGTTGTCTTGTGGGAGCAAATCAACGATTCATGCCGTCGCCGCGCTGGTTATACTGGTTACATCTGCACTTTTGGTGTATATATCCACAGCTATATATGCTTTTCTGCACTAAGTGAAACTTCTGAGTACGTGTTTTGTATCTTATTGAATGCTCAATATGTAAAATATACTTTTGAGTGTGAAATTATGTGTAGGAATTGTGGTGCTTGGATGATGTTACTTATGGAAGATTTGGTCATTGATTGTCAAAAATTTTGCTCCTGATAACATTTAGTTGATACATGATGGATTAATTATAAGCAGATTACTATAAAGTAGCTGGGTCATGGTTATTCGGAGTATTCTAGTCTACATGAATAAAAATACTGGGTAAATCTTGATATTTGGCAATTTTAGGTTGAAATTCAGCTTATTAAATACTCAAGTAGCTACTGTTGGGATATAGCCATATGTTGGGGATGTATTTTAGATTATTTGTTATATGTAGCTAATTGAACCAATTTGGTTGAATATTGCTGCACAACTGGAGAAGGTCAGTTACATCTGCACTTTTGGTGTGTGTGTGTGTGTATTCTTTTCTGCGCTAAGCAAAACTTGTGAATACATGTTTTGCTCATATGTATCTTATTTAGTGCTAAAAACGTAAAATGTACTTTTATTGTGGTATTATTTGCAGGAAATGTGCTGTTTGGATGATGTTCCTTATGGAAGATTTGTCTTTGATTGTCTGTTAGACAAAACCTTTTGACTTCAATTGATGTTTAGCTATGTGCATTTGTCAAAATCTTTGCTCGTTGCAACATTTAGTTGAGACATGATGGATTAATATAAGCAGATTAACATGATGGATTAATATAAGCAGATTACTGTAAAGTGGCTGGGTCATTGGTTATATTCTAGTCTTTATGGATAAAATCTTGATATTTGGCAATATTATTGTATATCTTCTTCATCATTTAAGTGAAAACAAAAACCCTTGAGCTAGTCTGTGCTATACCCATGTCAAGGATTGCACCATGCTGATCATCAAACCCCAGGGGAAGTAATTTCAAAAGACTGTTTTATTGAGAGGTATTGCACTCCAATTGTTTTATTCTGCCATTAGCAATGATCGTTTCTTTTCCTTTTACTTCGTCTCTCTTATTTTAATAGACATGACATTTATTTGTTAAATTGACAATGGTTTGTGATTTTCTATGAAGCATGATCATGGATATAAGATTAAGGAAACCGCAAGATGTAAAGATGGGGATAGGACAAATTCCTAAAAGACTAGGATATGGATACCAAAAAAATGACAATTTACTTTATATATATATGCATATTGTATGAAGTATGTATAACAATTAAAATAATGTGCATCACTGCATCCATTTATAAAGTAAAATGTCATGTTATATATGTTACTACTAATATTCCTTTACCAAGAAATTACAAAGAAGCTGAGGGTTATATTGCGCTAAATTAATGTTCAAGACCTGGACGTGTCCCGAAGTATTCAAAGAGTAATGACTGTGTGACCTAAATATCTAAAAATGTATCATATGGGTGCTCAAAGTTAAAAAAAATTATGGATACGTTTAGAAAGTTCACGAGTATCGGCTAGTATCAGTATCTGATACATATATGATATAGATGTGTTTCCCCCAATACTCCAACATAAATATCCACATTTCAAAGGTGTTGATATTTGCTTTGGTAGATGATAACATGAGTAATAGTGGAAGAAGGTCTACAATTTTCTTTAGTCTGAGTGAAACATTACTTGTTCACTGAGAATTCAATTATTTGCTGCCCTACTGGAGAAGCTTAGTTACATATGCACTTTTGGTGTATATATCTACAGCTATCTATTCTATTCTCCTCTAAATGAAACTTGTGAGTACTTGTTTTGCTTATATGTATCTTATTTAGGGTTAAAAATGGTAAATGTACTTTTACTGTTAAACTATTTGCAGGAAATGTGCTGGTTGGATGTTGTTCCTTATGGAATATCTGTCTCTGATTGTCTGTTAGATAAAACCTTGTCTTCAAATGATGTTTAGCTGTGAGCTTTTTTATCAAAATCTTTGCTCCTGATAACATTTAGTTTAGACATGATGGATTATATAAGCAGAATTAATGTAAAGTAGTTGGGTCATGTTTATGTTCTAGTCTTTATGGATAAAAATACTGGGTAAATCTTGATATTTGGCAATATTATACACCCTTTTACATCTTCTACCTCATTTAAGTGAAAAAAAAGAAACCCTTGCTAGTCTACATTGTACCCTACCCTGTGATATACCCATTTCAGGGATTGCACTATGTTGATCATCAAACCCCAGGCGAAGGAATTTTCAACGGACTGTTTTATTGAGAGTTATTGTGCTCCAATTGTTTTCTTCTGCCATTAGCAATGATTGTTTCTTTTCGTTTTACTTTGTCTCTCTTATTTTAATAGACATGACATTTATTTGTTAAATTGGCAATGGTTTGTGTTACTCTATGAAGCATGAACATGGATATAGGATAAAGGAAACCAAAAGATATATAAAGATGGGGATAGGACAAATTCCTAAAAGAATAGGATATGGATACAAATTTATAGTTATATATTATATGTATATCGTATGAAGTATGTATAACAATTAAAATAGCTGCATCCATTTTTAAATTAAAATCACATGTTATAAATGTTGCTACTAATATTAACTTTGGACTAAACTAGATATAATATCTTCTCATTATTTCTCAATTTTTTTTTCGTTGAAAAATCTGAGTATTTAGAATTCTATACAAAAGTTATATTTTTAGGTTCAAGGCTTAGACATGTCATAAAGTATTCGAAGAGTCAAAGACTATTAACTTTGTGACCTTAGAAGTATCATATGGGTGCTCAAAGTTAAAAACAAAAAAACAAATATTATGGATACATTAGGAAGTCCACAAGTATCAAATAGTATCAATATCTGATTCAGGTATGATATAGATGTGTTTCCCCCAATATAAATATCCGCACTTCATAGGTGTTGATATTTGCTTTGGTAGATGATAACATGAGTAATGGTGGAAGAAGATCAAGAATTTTCTTTGGTCTGATTGAAACATTACTTGTTCATTGAGTATTTAATTATTTGTGTATGACTTGGTTAAATAAGAAATAGTATATGTTGGAATAGGAAAATATTATTTTTATTTTCCTTTTAATGGTTTTTGCAATTAGTATTGTCTTTATGTTGGAATAGTAGGATTAGGAATTTCCTTTCCTTTTCTTGTAAGCAGATTTTCCAGTTGGTTGTCTTTGTTGTTTAAGTAGACAGGTAAGATATGTTGGGACCATTTCGCAATGTCAGAGTGGGCAATCTTAGGACTTGTAAGGTTCCAAATACTTTTTGCGCTATAGGTTTGGACGTAGATTTTAACCAATCTGTGTCTTTATTTTCCTCATCAGTCTATCATCCTGTGTGAGTTAAAGCTGTGGCTGGCAGGTGCAAATTTTTTTTTTTTTTGGAGATGTTGGTCTGGAATTGTGACTCTTTGGAGGTGTATCATTATGTGACAGCTAGGAAGCACAGACACGCCTAAAAGGGCAAAGAATCCGTGTCGGGCACGGACACGCGCCGGACATGCCCTGGCACGTGTCGGACACGCCAAAAAACTGTCTGATTTTTTTATTTTTTTTATTTTATTTTATTTTTCAATATTTGGACACAGTGTGGACACGCCGTGGATATGTGTCTGACACGCGAGTCCCATTTTTTTTTTTTTTTTGTGATTAGTAAGGCACTTAGATAGGGATTTTAAGAAAGTTTTAGAAAGAAAGCTAGGTTGAAGTGTAACAATGAGGAGTTGTTTAATAGCTATCAATAATATGATGGTCATTACATAACTTCTTAAAAGTTGTTTTACAAAATAACTTTATATGTTCATTTTGTCTCTTTTTACTTTTCCCTCTTGTTTCCATGAAAATTTTCTCTTCTATGGATTCTTACTAACTAAGCCTAAATTCTTTTTCTAACAAAACCCTATCCTCTTTGTTTCTTTGTTTTCTCTTCTTTCTTAACTTTATTTCTATCATTCTCTCTTGCTTGCAAAGCACAATATATATATATGTATATATATATTTCATTATTAGGTTGATAAAAAATAATATTGCTCTTAATTTCTTAAAGTACAACATCATATATATAAAAATATAAATTTATTATTCGCCGTGTCCATATCCTATATTTTTAGGATGCCATGTCACCGTGTCTGTGTCTTGTCGTATGCGTGTCTATGCTTCTTAATGTGACAGGATATAAGTGGGTGAAGAGTTTGTTAATTTAATGGGAGACACTGGTCTGGGTAAGAGCCTTTCTGGTTCACCCATAATTGTGAGTATACACTAAGCTACTAGTACAAGGAATTATGGCCAATTACTTTCTCGTTGTGTTGCTGCTGATGAAATTCAAATTTTCTTTCTTAAACAATAGAGGTCTTTGTTTTTTTTTTTTTTTTTGCTTATGTGATGGTTTTTGTGGGAAGATTTTTCCCAAATCCCCCCACACTTGCACCAGATTTGTTTTGAATATGTGTTGTTAACATCTAGATATTGTTTGGGTACTTTTGTTGAGTCTGGTCTTTTTAGGCAAGGTTAAGTAAATACCCTTTTTTCCATAGTCAAGTTATTTGTATGCTTGGACGATTGGGGTAATTGGGTGGATGTAGGGAACAAGAAGATTATGCTCATGTTAGTTTGCGATTAGCCATGATTCCTAAGTTATGTGTCTAATTCACTAAACACTGCTTCGGTAGTCTTAACCATCTTTTTTTTGCTAAAACATCAACACAATCATCTTTTTGTCAGATGTTGCCCTTAGAGTTTTGTTCCTGCCTACCTTATTGATTGGTGGGTCTATAGTTTGCAAATATTATGAGTGTGTCTTTTTCTGTGTTACCTGCTTATAGTTTCATCCCTTATCCATCCCTAGAGACTGATGAATCCACAGAACATGTAGGACATGTATGGTAAATTCAGAAACAAACTCACCTCAACCTCTTTTGCAGCAGTGTGGAAATACCTCACATACTCCTGTAGCTATTTTCTGGGGAATGGAAAACTATCCTGTACCAAATGATGCACGCCCAAAAGATGTGGCTGGCAACATTGGAATGGCACTGCGGTCCTGCTGTCCATCTTAAGAGGGCTGCCGATGTTTTCTGCCTATGGGGATTTTAATGCCATCCCCAGGCTGCTAGGATAGGGCTGCCAGAGAACAGGTGTCAAATCATAGATGTCTTGTATGGGAGAAAGGATGCCACTTTTGACAAGGCCATCTGGTTGACCTCTCTCTTTGCTGTTAAAAACCCTCCATTGTCTATCATCATGCTGATCTTGGGTCGATGATTTTGCCTTTAAGGGCTTTCAGATTCAAGATTCCCGATGTTTCTACTCTAAGCCTCACCAGCTATGATAAGAGATGTGTTGTACCTTGTAGATATTGAAATGTATGCTTTTAGGAGGCATTTTCGGGAGCTTTTCTTTCTGTTTTATTGATCATATTTATTTGTTTGTTTTCCTTTTTTATACAGTGGACTTTGATCTTATCTGAGTCCGATTATATTTGTGCATACTGGAAATTGTGTTTGTGCATGCTCGTTACAGCGATCACAGGTGGGCATAGAATACATTCCAGATGGGATGATATAAACAGATGTAGAGCAATAAATTGTGGCAATATTATATAAACAATTGGCAGGGATTCTTCAAGGAGTTGGCGAAATTACCAATTTTGTGTATTCTCTAAGCCCTTATTACCCATTACTGCTCTATATAGAATGTGTATCTGATCAAAGAGATTGTGGATGCATGTCAGGTAAGTTTGGAGGTTGTCCCATGTGTCTCTCTCTCAGAGCCTCTTAGCCTTTGTCATGGAAGCAAAGGTGGCTTTTTTTCTCAAACTAATGCGAGTCTGCAGACAATACCGAAGAATATTTCAGTCTCTCTGCTTTTTATCTGTTACACTTGGGGAAAAATGACAACAATTTTGTGTTTCGAGGCAAAAAGTGGGGGGCTCGTCAATTTTTTGACAAAGGTATGGCTAGTTTCAATATGTTAAATCTTATTTAGAAAGATCTTCTGGTCTGTTTGAAGCAGTCTTTCTAGACATAAGAGAGGAAGGTAGTGGTGGTTTGGTTTTACCTTAATTTTCTTCCCTCTGGCTCGTGATCCTCTCATTGCCGAGGAGGCTTTATCTGCGAGAAAGTGTCTGTCGATGGGGCTATGAGAATACTATCATGGAAGGTGATTGTAAAAATGTTATGAACTTGATGCCCCAAGATGATCTGTTGGCAACTGTTATGGAAGATGTTCGATTCCTTCTTGCTAATCATGAAGGCTTCAAGCTTCAATGGGTTACTTGTTTGCTGTTCAGCAAACACAGTGGCTCACTTTATAGGGAGATGGGGATTTAAGAGTAATGTTTGGCCTCAATGGCTCTTCAATTTGTTTTCTGTTCCTCTTTCTTTTGTCAGTGAAAATTTTCTTTAGATGTAAATGGAATTCACAGGGCTACAGGACTCATGATCCATTAGTTATGGTGCAACATGTGATATTGATACCCAGGTGGTATTACAGTAATACATATTGAAATTATTTTGGAAACGAATCATTGAAAATTTTCGAGGACGAAGGCTTCTCTTCTCTTCTCTTGTACTACGGTCCCATCATTGAATAAGTAGAAGTATATTTATTTTAAAAAGTATCATTACTTGTTCGCATCGAATTAGTTTGATATTAAATTAAAAATAAATAAATAAATAAAAAATTAGTTTGATATTATCTCATCAATATATCATGAGCATGGAAGTATTTCTCCTTTCCAAAAATTGTTTTGTGTTATTGTAATGGGTTTCCGCACAACAACTTTATCCAAAATTTTAGTCTAAAGTAGAGAAGAGAAAAAAAAAAAAAAAAAATGAAGAAGTTAATCCGTAGTGTTATTGATTTATCCATTTATTATTTACTTTTCGCGTAAAATTTTCTTATAATATTTTCTTTCACATAAAATGTATATACAAAGATAATTTCCATATCCTGCACCCACCTCCCCATTTCAGTGAAAGAAAATATTATAAGAAATATATACAATGAAATATCATAATATTGATAAATTTATATATTAAGAAAATATTATAAGAAATATTAAGTGAAAGAAAATATTATAAGAAATATATACATAGATTTTCCAACAGTATGCGGAGTAATATGTATAAAGATAATTTCCATATCCATAGTCCACAGGGTTCAGTCTCTCTCTCCTGTGTAAAATTCTAGGGTTCAGTTCTTTCTCTCTCTAGAATGGACAATTTGCTTGCAAATTATGGCTCTTCCGACGACGAAGAGAAAGAACAAACGCAACCAAAACCAACAGTTTTTCCATCATTAACCACTCCCAACTTTAGCCAAGGTATCTCCAAGACCTCCATCTTCTCTTCTCTCCCACCTCCCAAATCTTCTCTCTTCAATTCTCTTCCGCCCCCAAAATCCAACCTCCTTAAACCAGCACAAACCCTAACCAATCTCGACCACCAAGAACGTGATGAAGAAGAAGACATCGGACAACAACAGCATCGACAAAACGTGAATTCGGAATCTGCCTCTCAATTTGGTAAAAAAACCTCTAAACACTCCTCTTTGTTCTCTTCCCTTCCACCTCCGAAAACTCAACAGTTAGATTCAGAGCCACCTCAGTCTTCCCCTTTTTTCTCTTCCCTTCCACCGCCGAAGTTGCACAACTCGGATTCACGAGCACCCTTAGATCACTCTTCTTCTTCTTCAGTCAGCAATACCAAAAGGATCGTTCAATTCAAGCTTCCAATAAACCCATTTTTGAGGAAGTCCAGCAAAAGTGATGACGAAGACGACGATGAGGAGGAGGAAAAAGAAAGGAAAAGGTCTAAGGAATTTATTCAGACACCCACTGTGAAATCTTTTCTGTCGAGTATACCGGTGCCCAAGAATTCGGTGACACTGGGCGCCCTTCCCTCCGCATTGGGTTCGGGGAGAAGATCAATTCTGGAAGCAGATGTACCGGCATCGAATTATAAAGCTGTTGCAACTGAAAAGGAAATGAGGGTTGATTCGAACGTTGAAAACTATGCGAGCCAATGGGTTGATAAGTCATCCTCAAATTCGTTAGGAACTGCGGGTGATCAGTCAGAATATACAGTTGCAGCTGGTGGTGGTGATCCTTCAAATTTGGTTTCAGCCAGTGAAAACTATGTAAACTATGACACATATGGTGGCTATGGAAATTCTGGTAACTATGGGCATTATGAGAGTAATTGGGTTGATGGGTCAGCGACAACTGCTGCTTCAGATGTGTCAGGAATACCTGAATATGCAATGAAAGTGCCAGGGAAGAGAGGGAGGATGGAGGTTCCTCAAGAAATAGTTGAGGTGAAGCAGGATGAGTTGATTAAAAATCGACCTCGGGAGGATCAGGTCAAGTTAACTGGAATCGCTTTTGGGCCCTCTTACCAGGTACCTAAAGAAACATCATTCGGTTCTTTGATTTTGTCTGCTGAACTTAATTTTTCTGGGATTCATCATTCATGGTATTATGACATTCTTAGGCATAAGCATGCTCTTAAATTCTATTTGGTATTTGGCAACGTTAATATTTTTGTACAGCTACAATTTTCCGGTTTCTTTTTGGATGATAATAGATATAACATATGATACAATTTTTGGGTTTCTTGTTGGATGATAATGGATATGATATTTGATTATTCGATAAGATCTGAACTAATTACCACAGTATAGGCTTGTTTATCTTGTCAGTATATTATATACACACACACATAGTTGTCTAGATGATAAGATGCAATTAGTCTGTTGCTAAGTTATTCAAGGAAGAACTAAATGTTGTGAACATTATAAATCTGTGATTTGTTTATTTATTTATTTTTCTTTTTGATCTTTCAAATTTGAGGAAATGGCACTTGACAGAATAGAAAGGCAAAAAATGCTATCGTTGAGAGATTGCAAGCACTTCTGATATTTGAGCTCATTGAATTGGGATAAGGGAAAAAGTTGTAGCTATTCCATGTGTAGTTATAGTTGGGAGGGGCAACATTTGCTGAATCAAGTTCATATTTTTAGAGTCCTAAACCAATACTATGATTTTTCTGTGGTATTGGTTTTATGATATAAACCAATATCACATAAGGCAAGGATGATGATGGTAATGATTGGATTTATGATATAAACGAACAAGAACTGAGAATGTTAATTTTGCCACACATTGACCAACTTCGGATGGTCCAATTTTCTAGTCATGACAAGATTAGATGTTTAGTTGAATTAAATTATGCAGATCTGCGTTGTCAATAAGCAAGTCAGCTCTGGGATGCCTGACCAGAGTTCAAGTATCCAAATTAAGGTGAAAATGCAATAAAGTGGCCAGGTAGCAAAAAAGTTTTTTACTGATGGCAAAGGCAAGTATGCTTGGTGTTAGGAGTTCTCTAGAATTATACTGCCAAAGTAGATCATTATAAGTTTTTCTGGGATGGGTTAGATGAAAAAGTTTTCCTTCCTTGAATAGCTCTCAAGGAAGTTATGAGAGTGTTGGAGGAGAGTGGATGTCTGACAAGGTTAGAAAATCTTTTGGAGTAGGGTTATGGAAAATGATTAGAGAAGGACAGGACCATGAAGAATGTTGGCTTCTTAGCAGGGAGTGGTCTGAAGGTGTAAGTTAATATAATGCTTGGTTTGGGAGTGTTCTACTTAATTTTTCTCATCAGATCTATTCCTTATATGTTGATAAAGATGGTTATGTATTAGATAATGTGAACAGGTTTAAGATCCCTCCTTCTCAAGGATGGTGCACAATTGAAAGTTGGAATGGAGGATACTCCTTTTTCAGATCTCTCTTTGATATATCTTATATGGCTTCTCTTTTGAATGGTAGTGAAGATAGATGGAGGTGGATGGCTTCCATGAGTGGCAATTTCTAGGTGAGGTTCAATTATAAAAAGCTATGTGATCTGTATTAGGATATTTTACAGTACTATCTAAGGTTGCCTTCCTTTGATGGATATACTCTTGGGAGAAATTGATAATTTAGTCGGATGGTATCTACTAAATTGGAGTTGCTTGCGTAGAACATAGAATTTGTAAATAATCTCCTTCTGTATTTCCTAATGGCCAGATATATTTGGAGTAGGTTTCTGTGCTTGGGATTAGGCCTATTGTTGGATTAAATGTGAACAAATCTGATCAATCAAGTTTGTGTGGGTTTCTAATCCGTTGACACATTAAAGGTCTAATCTAACTAATTTAACTACTAAATCGACCAAATCTAAAACAAAGAGTGATTTGATCGGTTAGTAATCCAATCTAGCTAGGAAATCAATACATTTATATAATTGTTAATATGATTAATCTCAGTCAGCAGAACATCACATAACTAGTTGTTAAACCAATAGATGTGAATATGTCTTGAGGTTTGGTGTTTACTAAACCACTTCTAGTGGCTTCTCTACTGATCTAAAACTTTCACTCCATTGCTTCACGGCCACCTCCTATTTCTTTTGTTGTAGTAATGTCAATGCTTCTTGTCTCCTGTAATGTCGCATGAAAGCGGTGGTTGACGTGGTTCAAAAGAAGCATGAGATCAAAGATGCAATTGTAATAGATGAAATTCAGGTTAGGATATTAGAGATTCTAAATCAATAGATGAAATTTGGGTTTTCATTTTCATTTGTATCACTATTTTTCCTCTCTCTCTCTCTCTCTCTCTTTGAATGACTAACAATTGTTAAATTAAGGTCAATAGCATTAATTTTAAACTCTATCTCCATCTCTTTTCTTGATTTTTTTTAATAGCATTAATTTTTAACTCTATTATATTTGGTTGTAAATCTTGTTCAATTTTAAGAGGATTTTGCTTTTCAAAATTCTTCCACTGGTTAGCTAACACTCATAGGAGGAGTAATCATATAGGAAGAATTTGGGTGGATGGTGAGGAGTTGTGGAGAGAGGAAGAGGTGCGTAACGGTATTGTTTCCTTTTATCAGAAGCTTTATACCGAGCCTTTAGTTTGGAGGCCTAGACTTGATGGTCTCCATTTTGAAGCTATTTCTGAGTTTGATAGAGATAGGATTGAGAATCCTTTCATTGACGAAGAAGTCCTCAAAGCTTTATCAAGTTGTAATGGGGACAAAGCTCCGGGACCTGATGGCTTTACCATGCAATTTTTGATGGAAAGTTGAGCGGTTGTAAGAAATGAGGTAATGGGTACTTTTCAAGAGTTTCATTCTTTTGGCGTCTTTGAGAAGTCGCTTAATGCTTCATTCATTGCCCTTATCCCAAAAAAGGGAGGCGCTTCAGATATAAAGGATTTTCGTCCTATCAGTTTGGTGGGCTATATTTACAAACTTATTGCTAAGTTGCTTGCTTTAAGGATGAGGGAAGTAATGGATGGGATTTTTTCGGATTCCCAGAATGCTTTTGTTGGCGGACAACAAATTCTTGATTCAGTTTTTATTGCTGGTGAATGTGTAGACTCCAGATTGCAGAGTGGTATTCCTGGAGTTTTATGCAAACTTGATATTGAGAAAGCATATGATCATGTGAATTGGAATTTCCTACTCTATTTGTTACAAAGAATGGGGTTTGTAAGTAAATGGAGGAAGTGGATTGAGACCTATGTTTCATCTGTCAAGTTTTCAATTCTTGTGAATGGTTCTCCTGCTGGTTTCTTCGGTTGTTCTCGGGGTATAAGACAAGTAGATCCTTTGTCATCTTTCCTTTTTCTTGTTGTTATGGAGGGGTTAAGTAGACTTATGCGCAGGGCAGAGGACCTTGGTTTTATAAAGGGATTCAGGGTGGGCAGAGATTTAGTCCATCAGATGGAGATTTCTTATTTACTCTTTGCAGATGATACTCTGGTTTTCTATGATGCTGATGTGTCTCAACTTCGATACTTAAGGTGTGTATTGACTTGTTTTCAGGCAGTCTCCGGGCTAAAGGTCAATGTGGCTAAAAGTGTGCTTGTCCCAGTAGGGAATGTTCAGGATATTACCTCTTTAGTTGCAGTACTTGGATGCAGGGTGAGCTCATTCCCTATTCCTTATTTGGGTTTGCCCCTAGGGGTCTCTTCAAGGTTAGTGGGGAGTTGGGATTCCGTGATTGACAGGTATGCGAAGAGATTGGCAGGATTAAAGATGCAAATACTTGTCAAAAGGGGGTAAAGTTACTCTTATCAAGAGTACATTATCGAGCCTGCCCACTTATTTTCTTTCTATGTTCCAAATCCCTTGTTCCGTTGCAGATAGGATTGAAAAAATTCAAAGGGATTTCCTCTGGGGAGGAAAGGGCGATGAGTTCAAGTACCACCTTGTCAGATGGGAGAAAGTTTGTAAGCCTGTGAAATTGGGTGGACTTGGAATAAGACGTTTACTTCCTTTCAATCAAGCTCTCCTGGGTAAATGGCTATGGAGATATGGGTGGGAAAGACATCATCCATGGCGCAGGTTAGTCTCTTATCGGTTTGGGGAAGAGGCTGGAGATTGGTCTACACGTCCGGTTACCCTGGTGGGAGGAGTAGGGATGTGGAAGGCTATTCGGAAGGGATGTGATGTTTTTTCGGCTCATATTAGATTCAAACTCCGTGATGGTCGTTGCATTCGGTTTTGGGAAGATCTCTGGTGTGGGGATCAGCCACTTTCTCGTACATTTCCTAGATTATTCAGTATTGCTATTGATAAACACGCCTACGTAGTTGACAGTTATCGGCTTGATAGCAGCGGGATTACGTGGGATGTGCATTTTCGGTGCTTTTTTCAGGATTGGGAGATGGACGAGGTATGTGTTTTTCTGGATCTTCTGTATCAGCAGGAGGGCGTTGGTAGAGGTAATGATGTTTTAATTTGGGCTCCTTCCTCCCACGGTCGCTTCGAAGTTAGATCCTTATTCTTATGTTTGTCAAATTTTGTTAATCGAGACTTCCCATGGAAAATTATTTGGCGGTCTTTGGCTCCAACTAGGGTGGCTTTCTTTGTTTGGACCGCTATGTGGGGAAAGATTCTGACAATTGATAACTTGAGGAAAAGGGGTAATTGCATCGTTAATCCATGTTGTCTATGCAAGGATGATGAGGAGTCCGTTGATCACCTCCTTTTGCATTGCTCTGTGTCGAACGACTGTTGGAATCTTATTGTTGGGTTGTTTTGGAGAATTGTATCACATTGTGTATGGTGGTGCATTTGGAAGGAGAGAAATTGCAGAATGTTCGAAGGGAAAGAGTCGCCCACGGCAATGGTCAAACTTTACATTCTTCGTTCTCTTTTCAATTATGTGAAGGGGAGCTTTTGTTCTTCTTCTGATGATTTAATTACTTCTTTTGGGCCTTAGCCCCTGTTCCACTTTTGTAATTGGGACGCGTTCTCCTTTTGAACGCCTTTTTTAATATTATTTTTACTAATCAAAAAAAAAAAAAAAAAAATTATCAAATTGGCTCATATTATTGGATTGGTGATTCAATAATTAATGGAAACAAGTTTGCATTGACCTTCTGCTGATCATTTAGATTAAGTTAGGGTCCATGGTGGTCCTGTTCAAACTGTCTGAATCGAATCAAACTAGCTATACTGTTTGGTCTGATTGTAGGGATCAATAGTTGAATATTGATTCCAAAATTTTGAAATCAGTTCCAAAATAATTGAACTGCCAGGATTGATTTGATTCCCAGTTGAGGGGCCTAAAAACCGAACCAATTCAAACTGGTTGGTAATGTTTATCACCATAGGCTTTTGCACATATCAAATCAAGGTTTTATACATGTTAGGGTCCATATAAGGCTTGATCTTTGGTTAGGCCTAGTTACTCTTAGGTTGTCTTTTTAGGCAAGTCCAATCTGTAAAATTGAACCGGTCTAAACCATTTTTATTTGGTTTGAATTGATTTGGTTTAGGTAAGTCTATCAATTCGGGTTGGTTTTCTTTTGGGAGGAATCCTTGGATTGATTTTGGTTTTGATTTACCTTTTAATTCGAATCAAACCGAATTTGTGCATCCGCACATTACTAGATAGGGTACAATTAGAATTAGAACTATCTCTTAACAATTGGATTTGAATCATTTAATGGCTTATTTGGAATCCACAAGATGATATCGAGCTCTATGAGGGGACACATTGGTGTCTGTGACTCTATAAGTGGGCTAAGTAACAAGGATTGAAATTTGTGTTGAATGCTGGCTACACTTTGGCTCTTTTAGTTTATGTGAAAGAGAGAGAAATAAGAGGTTATTTGAGGGGAGGAGGCATCAGGTTACTAGTTAAACTAGATGATGCTAAGTTCTTTGCTTCTCTTTTTCTTTTTGTCTTTTTTCTTGTGGGGTGGAAGATGATGGGAGGCAGTTTTTTTTTTTCTTTGTTGGTGGGGGTGGTTTTTATGTTGGTTTCTTGAGTGATGACTTTAGATTTACGCAGCCTTACCTCCACATGCGGAGAGGCTGTTTCCTTATTTCGAACTTGTGACCTCCAAATACAATGGAGCAACCTTACCGTTGCACAATGGGAATAGCATTAGAAGTTTATAGAACTGTGGTTACATTTAAAAACATAAAATGAGACCCATTAGCTACAATGATAAAACCAAAAGTTAGTAAATAAATTATATTCAATGTAGTGCAATGCTGCAAACGCTTACATGGTGATAACAACAGTGGGGAATCAAAAAGGTGCTAGCATGCAAAAGGAAAACCTTGACGATCATATATTTGTGAGAGATATTGATGCAGCAATTCATTATATTTTATTGTTACGTGTTCGGGAGGCACACCAATTTGTTTGTCTTAAGAATTCTCAAATTTTGCAGTTAAATTAGTCATTACTGTTAAAAGTCTCAAGTTAAACAAAGGATTTGAAGATCATTGATATAATTATTATATAATATTTTGGAATTACAAGTTCCTGATTTAGTAATTGTAGAAATATCTTCTCTGAGTCTATTACACATGGAATTGAAAACAAGAAACACTCTCATAAATATCTGTCTACTTTTTATTTTCAAAGTGCATTCCAAAAAAATAATCAACATGCACATTTATGCATTCATGCATATCTATGTGTGCTTACATTTTGGTAGGGATGTGGACACCTGATATAGGACAAGAAAGCAGCCTTAAATAGCTAAGAACTCAAAGAATTCAGGGTCGGAAAGTTCTAACTACTAGGGTTGAAATTTGGAGGTTTGATAGTAGAAATGTAGGAAATCAAGGAGAATATAATAAGAGCTGGCATCACACCAACAGGGCCAGAGAAACAGATTATTGTTCAAGAGAGAGAAAGGATTTGAAAATAAGAAAAAGCCTATTGGCATCACACCAATAGAAAACAAAAACTTATTGGAATCACTCCAACAGGGCCTAGGTATCACACCTAGAGAAGGCCTCACATCGTCAAAATTTTTTAATCACTCACAAAGAAATCTTAAAAGATATTTTGATTCATTCATTGACTGATTCACCAAGATTACATTCTACCCCTTTTATAGCATCTTATGAGCCTTCAATTACCCCTAATTGAGGCAATCAATACTTGACTCTAACATAATAAAAGTAATCACCCCGTAATTGAGGTAATCAATATTTGACTCTAGGATTACCTCATAATTGAGGCAATCAATTGACCGTTGGATTACCCCATAATTAAGGTAATCAATACTTACCAAATAGTATAATTAAAGTAACAAAAAGTTGACCAAATCTCCCAATTATTCAAACTCCATGTGGACCCATATTATAGCCTATGCCAGCTCGAATCTTAGAATCCTCCTTTTGGCACCTTTTATACACCTTTAAAGATTTCTGACATTGATCTCCATCGACACCCCCACACTAGGGTATAAATAAACCAACATAAAGTAATTAAAGATAATTAGAATATTTTACAAGTAAGATAAAATAGAAAGGGGGAAAAAAAAAAAAAAAAAGGGAACTAAATGAATCATAATCACTGGGCGACTGGGCCACAACCAATCTTCACTCTTCTCACTTGATGGTGGAGGAGCCAAAAGTGCATCTAGTTATTGATGTAGGATTTGTGAACATATGGAGTAAACAAATGAAAGAGCCTTGCAAATAGTTTGACTAATATCTTACTTCATGTTACACAAGATTCTCCTCAGAATGGGGTTCTAATGACTGTCCTCAGAAAGGGGTTCCCGTGATTGATCTACTAATGTGAACTTAATAGAAAAATCTTGCAAACTATTGACTGATGTCTTTCCACTCATATTGACAAGAAATTTTCTCAGAAGAGTTTCAACGTTTGAATGGTGTATAGTTCACTGGTTTCATTAGAATGGTGATACATCGGATCTCTGAGGAGAAAGGTCATGGTAACCTGCAAAATATGTTCTATTGCAGCTATTTGGAGAGAAGAAACAGATGGATTTTTTAAGTTCAGTAAATTTATATGCTTCTTGTGGGAATCATGATTTAGTTGTTTTCGATTATTTCCCTTGGTCTGAACTATGAGTGAATTCTCTTTAGCTCCGTTTGATTCTTTCAAGAATGGAAGATACGTTTGAGCATGCTTTTGTCAGCTACAGTATGCAGACTGTTTGTATACCGAGTATAATTAGGTTAATTTATTTGATACTATAGAAGCAAAGAAAGTCATGTCTCCTCATGCTTCTTGGTAATGACAGATAGGACCTCTGGTAAGTCTTTCTGTAATCTTATAAATCGTTCTGCATGACGATTTACACAAAGTTCATCATGTTTCATTTTGTAGAAGAGTTGTAGCACTCGAGGACATGATTTATATGCTTAATGTAAGTTCATAACAGGGAAATAGAAGAGTTCCTTTAGTTTTATTTATTATTTTATTTATTTTTGTTTTAGAACCAATTTGCTGATATTTTCTTCAAATTGCTTGAACCAAAATTGCCTGTAAAGGCTTGAAGTCGTGCCTAAGACAGCGACGACTTGGCTGAGTTGTCTTTTTTAACTAGTTGCCAAACAAAATGCAATGCCATACACATTAGTTAAGATGATGATATACACACATTAACTTATGTCTTGCGCATCTTACCCGAGATGACACCATATCGCTTAGCATCCACGAGAAGTCTCGTGGTACTGCAATGAGATAGCCTGCATAACATTGTCTCACCATCTATCTACAAAAGCTACAAAAGGAGTATTATTGTCCTAAGATGCATGATACAAACATGGGACATAAACAAAACACAACATTACACGTTGGCATGCCAAATCTTAAAAAGGTAGGGCAAGGACATGGCGAGGAGACTGCAATAGAATATGTCTCCAAGGGTGAATTGCCATGCTATTTATTCTTGACCCATCAGAAAGAAATCATTGTGTTGCGTCTCTAGTAAGAAAGCTACTATTCCTTTCAGTAGAGTTGTGTTGCTAGGCTCCTCTAAATCAGTTGCATCCCCATCTCTATGTGATATCTTCAAGGGACGTTTAGGGAGTTAATTACCAGTAATGTAACGCCCCCGAGAATGGGACCGTCAAAAAACATATTCTTGATCTGATTTGCTTTAGTTTGGTGTAGAACCACAACTTGAAAATGGCTCCTAAAGCTAACTACTAGTCTACTTGCCATAGCTATGTTCATTTTGGGGTACTAGCATTGCATAATTGAATTTTGTAGTGGGAATGAGGGAATTGACTTTAACACTTCACTCTCAGCCCTCTCAGCGTAACCATTCTGAGGAGAGCTCAGGAAAGATCTATTCATATCAGTCCTGTAAGATTGTGCATTGGGCCATTTCTCGTTGTGTCCGTCCATTGGAGTTGAAAGCATCAATATATGTAACCATGCATCCTAATACAAGATTAGTTTCTAATGTTTATCAGCAATAATGAAAATGAGAGAAATAATTTATATAGAAATTCATGAATTTTTTATCCTAAAAAACAATGGAACTCAGTTCCTCAATATATATCCAATCTAGATATTATTATTTGATTGATGTTTTAACTTGAGGGTAGACCCTATATTTACTTTGATTAATGTATGTGTTGACATTGTTCTATTTTTTCATTTATTTATATTTATGATGGATGCATTTACAATATTTGCATGTCATTCACAGCCTGTCTCAACAAAGGGTAAGCCTTCAAAGCTGCAGAAGAGGAAACATCAGATTGGTTCACTATTCTTTGATATGAAGCAGAAGGAGATGGAACTTGCTGAACGACGCTCCAAAGGATTCCTTACCAAAGCTGAAACACAAGCCAAGTATGGATGGTGACTTTGAGATACATATATTGTGGTTGTACTTTGTGTGACTGCCGGTTAAGAAACGAGAAAGGACCAGTAAAAAGTGGTCTCCTGAATGTAAATTATCTTGTATTGTTTTCAAGTTGATCAATTTTTTTCAAACCAGGATTAGCCCTACTCTCTTATCATGTGCTGTTTTTGAATTTCCTTATCATAAGCTAATGGATTATACTTTTAAATGATGGGGAACTATTTGTTGTTCCTAAGTTGAAAGTTTAGGACCTATTACACTTTTAAATCAAGCGAATGCGTGAAGCCACCCAGATTGTGTGGTTAATGATGCCATTTTCCATGCATTGCAATGGAAGCCTGAAGCGGCCTGCAGCAAGAAAAAGCATGGTGGTCATCTCAGATAGTCACCTATCTGAGACTCATGACAACTGAACTCGAGTTATATGGTTATACCAATCATTCAGAAAAAGTGGTGTGTTCTTTTCGGTTTTCATTTATGGTGAGAGAACTCAATCAAATTCAAATTCCAATCTAATCAACTTTTTCAATATGGAGAAGTTTCAAAATGCCTCAACGAAGTTCGTCTATTATTTGTTTATAATAGGGAACTCAACCTACAAGTAAATATTACATTCTAGAAAACATACAACAGATGTGCCAAACAAATTGTACAAATTTGGTCAACGACTAAATGAAGCTATCAGCTCTGTGAAAAGGCTATCTCTTTGATTCAATATCTCTCACACTTCGAACTATGTCATCAATGTTTCTTGTCAAGTGATTAGAGTGCTCCTCCATATCTTTCAAAACCATATCAAGCTGTTCTTGGATGGCTGCAGATCGCTTTTTTTCCCGCTGTAACTCGGCCATCAGTTCCCGAATCTTTACATCTTTCTCATCCTGAAAAGTTACAAGAAAGATGCTAAATATTGTTGGGGGTGAAAAGATGAAGAATGCAATGAAGTTTTTATTCAGGTAATAGGTAGGACAGCATGTGACCAATTGTGCCGACCCCGAATTCTTCTTCGGTTATAAAATGAAAGAGGACAGAAGGCATGTGAGAAATTGTGCAGACACTTAAGTTCTTTGGTAAAAAATTAGAGTTCCCCAGAGACGGCGCCAAAAGGAGCAGAATCTATGTATATTAAAGGCATACGAGAGCAAATAAAACCTAAGATGAGACCAAATAAGCAAACACGCCTAACTTCAAATGGCATGAGGCATGACTTTTCTCCATTCAGTCACATCATTAGAAGTTCGAATCACTATGACTAAAAAGTATAAATAAAATCAATCAACTAATTTAATTATTTAACCAACAGCAAAGTTGTATAAACAAGTGACTAATTCCAAAAAAATAGTAAAACAAACAAATGTAAGAACAGCTACAAGATGGAGTAAGACAAACGATACCCTGAAAGGAATAAGTTAAACAAGCCGATCTAACAATTTCCAACAAGAAATGGGCATCTACAAATATCTTATCAGGAAGACAAGCAAAAACTGAGATCTGAAGACAAATAAAAGGATCTTAACCACCATTGCTAATTTTTTACTGTATACAATATAAAGGCCTTTTTCTTGAACTCAAACTTTTGAAAAATGACGTACACTTCTGAGCATTCAAGGCACCAAATTGAACATTCTGGAATGGAGAAATGCACATCACAGATTGTTCGATCTAATTCACTATTTTTTGGTGGCTGTACTCCTAATTAATTCAACCATGCCACAACGTCAAAAGGGTCAACTAGTAGAAATTAGTAGTCAAATCTTTTTCACTACCAATGTCGTCAGAAGAGCATGCGTACTGATGTGTGGTTGAGTGCCAATGTTACATAATTTAGATGGAGCCAGAAGAGCATGGGTACTGATGTGTGGTTGAGTGCCAATGTTACATAATTTAGATTCTCCATCAATATTATGACTTATGAGAATATCCCGAAGCAACTAGTCTGTGTAGCAGCATATAATGTTTGCTAGGTGACTAGGATAGTCAAAAAACTTTAAATCTATATTATTTTATGAATTTTGAAACTATAATTCCAAGTTGGCATGGGAGACCTGTTTAGCAAAACCCGATCCATTTAGTATGACCCAACCCGTTTTAAAAATATAAACAGGCTTTTATGTGGGCGCATGTGTGAAATTCCCTTTTGCTGCATAGAAGTGTAGTAGATGCCAATTTGGCAGCGGAAAGAAGTTAACTTGGAAAAATCTGAGACTTTCAGGGTGTGGGGATTCTTTTTGTACAAACAAAGCGAAGGCACTACTTAGCCCTATCAAAAATGAAGGCCCGTGCAACACACGACGTTAACACTCCCAAATCTGGAAACGCTAACCACAGAATTACCTCTAAGCCTTTTACCTTAAGGTCAAACCACTACAAATCATCTAGCTCAAGTGGTATTCCCTCCTTCCAAATGAAGAAGGTGTAGGGTTCAACTCCCCTTTGAGACAATTATGAGTTGGGTGCATGAATAACTTAACTGGCAAAATAAATAAATAAAGGCAACCACTAATCTTTGCCTCTAGGAGGAAGACCTCTAAATCTCTACCTCTAGAAGACAGACCTCTAAAGTATAGACCTTTACCACCTCTAGGAGATAGACCTCAAAACCTATACCTCTACGAGATAGACCTCAAAACCTTAAACCTCTATAAGAAAGACCTCTCAACCTTCACATCTAAGAAGCAAACCTCCAAACCTCTAGTTCCAGCTCAGACCTCTTTATCAGACTGCAATGTTTTTTTTCATGATATCTATTTATACAGACAAGGCAATGATGATGACTATGGTGATCTCTTATACAGACTTATCTTAAAGCAGGTCTATGGGTCTGACTCTGCAATCTGTCTCATTCAACAAACAGCTCCTGATATTCTTCATATGGGTCTGATAATAGACAGACCTCGCGATCTTTTCCATCTGCACATTATCTCCTATGGTGCCTCCTGGTTATATATTTATTGTGGGGTCCCCTCTCCCGCCGATAAACCTAATTGCCAACATTAATTGAGAGGACATCTTACCTCAACTCTAGTGAATATGTCTCTGATAGACATCTTACCTCAACTCTAGTGAATTTGTCTCTGATATTCCAACATTGAAAAGGTACCCTGGCGTAGCCCAAGTTGGAAGCAGGCTCATGACTGATCATTGTTCCACCTCAAGGTACACAGATAAAGCACAGACCAAGAGCATTGCATGGCCGATTCGTCATAGCTCACTTCAACTAACACAAACATGACACTGATATTTATGAATATTTTTTTAGTTTACTGAGAAAAAATAAATAAAAAATAAGGGACCCAGCCCAGTGAGATCTGAGGGGTATGTGGCTTGTTGGCTAGAGTAGGAGTTGTTAAGGTGATCTCGTTTCAAGGTCTAGTACACCTTGTGCACCAGCTACAAGAAAAGACCTCACTATAGTCAATATGGTCCTCACTACCCATCAATGCATGGTGTTCTTCTACTCATCGTTACTCCAGATGGTGAAGATGTTATTGACTGAACCAATATTGGGTTATCTACACAGAGAGATGAAAAAATATTGCGGGGAACCGAATGACGATGCAATATTTGCCTTATGTAACACGTTGGAACTATTTAGCAACTATGTCCACAGAAGCAACAACCGTAAATGCACCAAAGCGGTTGGGAAATATTCAAGTTTCTAAACGGGCCAGCTATCTCAGAGTAATTATGTTGGAGTTGTGTCATATAGCTTCTCATTTGTCATTAGGGCTGCAAATGAACCGAGCCAAGCTTGGGGCTGCTCAGCTCGCCAAACTCAAAGGCTTGCTCGGGCTCGACCGAGCTTGGCTAACATGCGTTCGGGCTCGGGCTCGGCTCGTTATTCATATAAAACCACAATCACAAACATATACTGTATATATATATACACACAAAATCGCAGAGACGGAAAAAAAAAGTTGAGATGATATATATATTTACGTCAAATAAGAAATATACACACTAACAAAAATGTTTTTTATACGAATATATATATATACATACATGTAGAAGTAATTTTTATCAACAGTTTGCTGCACTCGTGGGTTTCTTCATAGTTCCAGAAAAAAATAAAAGAGGAGTGAGAAAGAGAGAAGCTCCACACGCATATGGCCAGAGGCTGATGGATCTAAAAGTGGGAGAGATATACAGATATGAGATCACTATTTGCCGCTTGGGTTGTGACAAACTGACGATGATGGAGATCCACTGGAATTGATCCGATTAAGTGATAGAGAGAGTTGTGTTGCGAAGCTTCCTGCAAGCCTTTGCGTTGGAGATGTGGAGATGAATACAGAGCAAATGGATATGTGTCATATGTGTGGCTATAGTCTTCTAATTTTAGGGTGTAAGCTTATTTCTTAACATACCAAAATCAACGGCTGAGATGGAATCAAAATTTATGATAGGCTAATGAATATAACTCCTTGGGCCCTGATTAATGAAAGGAGGTGAATTGGGCTGAACATATATTGTATGGGCTAAACTATGAAATAAAAATATATACGAGGCTTTGTTCATGAGCCTTAACGAGCTTTGTTCATGAGCCTTAACGAGCCTATGTTCACAAGCCTATACGAGCCGAGTCCAACGTTGTTCGGACTCGGCTCATTTACTAAACGAGCCTAGAAATTGGGTTCGAGCTCGAGCTCGGCTCGTTTGCTTAGCGAACGAGCCCGAGCCCGAGCCGAGCCCAAGTTGTTCATGAAATGCTCGATTCATTTGCAGCCCTATTTGTTATGGCTTGGCCCTTTTATGGCTGATATAGGGGCACATACCCCCTTCTTCTATATTTTTCGCAAAAGAGAATTGATGTCTGACCTATTCAAAGGCAAACCATATGTCGATGATCATCATTGGACCACCATAAAGATACATTGCATCTAAGAAGCACAAACACTTTTATGAGGTGTTGTGTCCGTGTTCGACACCGTGTCGAACATTGACACTTCATGGACACTCCTGGACACGTCTCCGACAATTCATGGCCATGTCTATAATTTAAAATTAATTTTTTATTGTTCAAACACTTGGCCAACACATCTCGGACACTTGGTCGACACATTCTGGACACATGACAGTCTTAGGAACAACATTATACACATACATGTCAAACCTCCTTTTCCTTAAACATTTGACATTAAACACATGTCAATGTAATTAAAAAAACATAATTATAATGACAAGATAAGATAGAAATATCATATATAATATAATATAATATATTCTTCTTTTTTTTTTATATTCGAAGAGCTTCAATTTCTAACTTATGTAACTTAAATATAGAAATTATAAATAAATTAATGTTCTATTATTGTCTTAGTGAGTACTTATAGATAAAAATATATATATATTTATATTAGTCGTGTCCACGCCGTCCCTGTGTCCAACTTTCTTAGAATTTGACATGTTAGCGTATCTATGTCGTATCGTGTCCATGTCCATGCTTCTTAGATGATGGCATAACCCCACTTGAACCTCATGTTGGCATGAGCACTGCTTTATACTCACCTTCATACTATAACTAATCCTCCATCCTACTTTCAAATGGCCGAGAAAGAGAGTTATAGATGTCGACATCTAAAATTGGAACTTTAGAGTTCAACATCTAGATTTAAGAAGCTAGAACCCCAACACCCCTAATACCCATCAAAGCTTGACCTGACCTCTGAAAACCACTAAATTTTCATTTCACTTTGATATTCCATCAACACTCGACTCCAGGACCCAATTAGGCCCGATTTGACCTTTATACTTATTTATCAAATGCTTAAAACTAGTCCGACCTCATGTAAGCCCTTCACCCTACAAAGTGTATGATGGCCTTGCACTGCTAATCTCTATCTCTTACAAGTCAACCTCGAATTCTCTCTAGTCTAGTTCA